ATATATATATATATATATATATATATATATATATATATAATATATCAAAACTTATATTAGCTCAATAGTTAAACTTGTTTTACTTCCATGGTTTTCTATTATTGTGCTAGTCATTGTATAGTTCCATTAACATTTGTAAGTTAAGCAATTCACTTGACAAGCATCTATATATTTTCAATCGCCTTAAAAAACCATTTTTTAATGTAAAATATTGTAATTAAACATAAACAATTATATTATTCATTTATAGCTCCTCCATAAGCGATCAAGGGTTCAATATATCCATTAGTTTTGTTTCAGCTAACAAAAATTTTTACTATAGATTTTAGTTATAAGCTTAAACAATTTAGAAAGCATGCAATTTAACACTTGTTACAATTTTAACAGCTTTACCTAAAATTTATGCGATACGTTAATAAATATTCAACAAGAATTTTTACATCAGTTGACATTTTTTCGTCAGATCTGCGGAAAATGGAACGTAAATCATTCGGAAGTTCTGTGTGCTAGAGTCAGATAAAGATTGATATCGTTTTGCACGTTTTCTGGAGTCCTCGTGAAACATATTTCCTGGAGGATTGTCAGTAATGGGTCGAAACCGAATAAGATAGATCTAGTGACTTTGGAGATGGATTTTAAATTTTATTTGGTATTTAGAGGAAGTAATAAAATATGTTATACTCGGTTCGCTGATTCCAGTCCTACCTTTCTAGTAAATTTGGTAATTATTCTATAGTTCTGGGTTGTTCTGTTCCATTCGGTGGATTCTTGACAACTCCTTATTTATAAACGACAAAGGATAATCATTTTTTAATAAAATAGATGCTAACATATGTTTCTTCTCTAATAACGAATTTTCGTTATAACAAGTAATGTTTCCTCTATAGTATAAGAATTTAATGATTCCCTCAGTAGGTGTATGTTTTTACTCTTTCTGTTGGTTGACCATAAGCCTAGTGAGCCATCTGCTGAAGCTGTTTTTAAAAGTCATCCACAAAATAATTTACCGGAAATGCGACGAATAAATTGCGTTTAATCAGGTGGAGATTTCCAGGTACATAGTTGTCTTTTAGGTCGTTGAAACAAAGTATTTGCTATAATGCAAATCTCCTCTTGGCAGACCTGTATTAGTCTCTGCCCTCTTTCGTTTCTTTCTCCAAGTCCATACTTTCCGGTTATATCTTGTGTTATTTCGGCACCAACGTTTGCGTTGAAGTCTCTCATAATAATTGTAGCTTCATGTTTTATTTGTGCTCCAAATAATTTGTTCCATTTGGTTGTAAAATTGCTCAATTTCTTCATCCAAAGAATTTGTTTCATTTGGTTGTAAAATTGCCCAATTTCTTCATTTGCTTTGTCAGCTGTTGGTGCATAGACTTGTATTATAATAATATTTAATAATTTATTATGCATCTGTATCATCATGATGCGATCATTGAAAGGAACGAAATTTCTAATACAGTTACGAATTTCTTTTTTAGCAATAATTGCAACACCGTTACGTCTGGGTCCTCCTGCCTTTCCCGATTGGTAAACAATGTATCCATTGCTCTCGAATATGTTTGACCCTAGCCATTTCGTCTCGCAGATACCTAGGATAAGAGTGTCTAGTCTGGTCATTTCCAGCTGTATTATGTAACTTCGCGCCTTCAAACATAGACGTTTCGCGTAACTATCTTGTAGACTTCCACGACACAGTGTTTTCGTGGGTTTACGACCTGAGTAACCCCGTGGTCTAGTTGTGATCCTCCTCCCCTGCCTTATCTTGGATTCCGAAGGCCATGATCATTAAAATTATGCATACTTTATTCCTCTGTCGTGGGAAGCTCTACTAGAGATATCCACAAGGATCTTTAATGTAGTGGTTTCTCCTGGCCTTCTACATCCTGATGCCGTTGACCATTTCTTGGTTCCTTCATCTTTAAGACCAGTTTCTCGGTCTCAGGACAACAGAGTGTCCTACCACTCACCAACTCATCCGTCCGAAGCTGTTGGCTTAAGTAAGTGAAGATTGCTTATACCTGCAATCATTTGGTTTATCTGTAACCCTAAACAAGAGGCCCTTACAGGGTGCTATTAGCCGAGCCAGCTGAACCCTGGTTTTTTATAGAGGTGTTACTCCTCTCCCCTCCTCGTTTATCCGGGCTTGTGACCGGCTACATCAGGTGTAAAGCTACTCAGTTCACCTCACACGTGAAAGGGCAAACACCCTACGAAGAATTGGTTGACCATTCACACTGATCGTTTCAATCTGTTGCTCCTTGTTAGAGATTATCATACATTTTGTTTTCTTAATGTTTAGTGAAAGTCCATATCTTTGATTCACTTCTGTAATTTTATTTATTAACTCCTGGGAAGCTTTGTAACTGTCAGCAAATACTAATGTGTCACCTCTCTCGTACCCTCTGCGTTCCAAAAACCAAACTGTGTATGGTTGATTTTTTCTTTACATAGTCTATAATATATCCTTTAATGTATGAGTTTAAGAAATAACTTTCAAATGAAGCTCATTAAGCTGATGGTCTGGAAATCATTGCAAGGTACGGATTTTGTTTTTTTTTTGGTAAAGCAATAAACATTGATTATATAACATCTGTTGGTATGTGTTAATATTTTCTATGTACCTGACTCCCATAGTTAGTATCCTTCTTAGAGATTAAAAGATCTAGGAAAGGTATATATAATACTGGTCAAACTTTTCAATGATGTTTATTCGACTGGTGATATCCCTGAAGATTGGTTAAAGTCCGAATTCATAACACTACCAAAAAAACAACGTCCGAAAAACTGTAGCGATTATAGAATGATAAGCCTTATGAGCCACACTTTGAAAATATTTCTACGCATCATCCACAGTAGAATCAGAGATAAATGTGAAGAAGATCAGGATGAAACACAATTTGGCTTCAGAAATGGACTGGGAATGTATTACTGCAGAAATGTCGAGATCAAAGGAAAGACGTCTTTGCTGTATTTATTGACTATGAAAAGGCCTTTAATCGAGTACAGTATCACAAATAATTTACAATATTAAAAGATAAAGGAGTTGATAGTCAATACATACGATTCATAGAAAAGTTATACTGACGTCAAACAGCGACAGCTTGCATAAACGGAAAATCAACATAAATATGTAAAATACAAAGAGGTGTCAGACAGGGTTGTATACTATCCCCACTGTTATTTAATTTATATTCAGATAGAATATTTAAAGAAGCGCTGCATAATTTGGAATGGGGCATGAAAGTTAATGAAATTCTGATATATACAATCAGATATGCAGACGATAGAGTTATTTTAAGTGATGACATGAATGGATTACAATGCCTTTTAAATGCCAATACAGTGGGAAGAGAGTTTGGCCTAAATATAAACTGTTCAAAAACAAAACACATGGTGTTTAGCCGTTTAGCACATCAAGATGCACGATTATATGTTGATGGTCATATAATTCAAAGAGTGTCCAGTTTTAAATATGTTGCTTGCCATATTACTGAACAACTAGATCCAGATCAAGAGATAAAATGTAGAATCGAGATAGCCCGCACGGCATTTTTAAAAATGAGGTCATTCTTCTGTAATGATAACTTGCAACTTCAACTTCGAAAGCGCATGGTTAAATGCTACATTTAGTCAGTCCTCTTACACGGTGTCGAAGCATGGACATTAAAAATATCCACCATTAATCGTCTGGAGGCCTTTGAAATGTGACTGCACAGACGTATACTAAAAATTTCATGGACGGCTATGCTGACAAATGTGGCAGTCCTTGAGAGAGCAAATGCTTTTCGCGAGCTACTTGATAACATCAAATGTAGAAAGATGGCCTATTTTGGGCACGTAGTAAGGAGAGTCCGATATAATATTCTTCAACTTATTATGATGGGTAAAATCGAAGGACGCAGAGGAATTGGTAGAAAGCAGGCCTCTTGGTTGAAGAATATCAGAGAGTGGACAGGAATAAAGAAAGCTGAGCAACTCTTTAGAATAGCTCGAGACAGAGACAGTTTCGCCATGTTAATCGCCAATGTCAAGGGGACTTGATAGAGCACGTTAAGAAGAAGAAGGAAAGGTAGTCTGTTATTGTATTCCTTTTCCATGGTAAATGTTATTGTCTCTTCGTTATCGTTTATATCATTCAGAAATGTATCTAATCAATCTGGTCGATGAGGCTATATTGAGAATACATTATCTGTATGTCTCCATCATAATACATACTACATCTTCTTCTTCTGGTTCCTATCCGTTTCGGATGTTGGAAATCATATTGGCAATCATAACCTTGCTCGCTGCGGCTCGAAACAGCTCCGTTGAGGTTTTCTTAAACCATGTTCTTAAATTCCGCAGCCATGATATTCTCCTTCTACCGGGTCCTCGCTTACCTTTGACTTTACCTTGCAACATACTATATACTACAAAGAAAATTTTACTTTGAAATTTCGATTGCTTCTTTACTACATGATTACCCAATTATGACTTTACCAAGAATTTTCTAAAACGGTAAAGTTTGTTTTCTCTTTAAGAAAACATTATTATTCATGTCATAGTTAATGGTAAACGTATTTAAGATTCTTTTCGTAGTATTTAATCAGCAATGAGAGATATTTCAGAACTTATTTTAGTTGAAATTGAATTTAAATGTGATTGATTAAAAAAATATTTTGATTAACGCATGCAAAATACTTCTTATATTGGACGTTAGATCTGTTATCTGTATGTGTATTACTGTCTCTCGATACCAAATAAATTGTAGATATGTTCTATTGCAACGCAATTTATACTTTTTTAGCAAAATATGTCTAAACCATAGTAAATTTTGTTATATTTGACAATTTCGCATACATGGGCTCTGATGGAGCTTCCGACTAATTACCGTTCCGTTTTTCTCCATCTTTAAGGAAAAAGTTAAGACATGTAATATTCTTGTTGCGCATTTATTTACGTTAGCGAATTCAAAACCACTTTGTGGGTATGTTTCTAATGAAGTGTTATGTTTTCAGATAATATAGACGGACTTGAAGGTAGCGTTGGTGAGGTATCGATTCAGGTGGATTTGTTTACACATCCTGGAACTGGAGAACATAAAGTCACAGTAAAAGGTAAGAAAAGAAAATAATTTTTTAGAGTGATAAGACAACTGTAAAAAAATGATAATAATACTTATGTGTAAATCACAGTACAAATTGGTCGCACAAATTTCTTTTCCAGTAACCACTTGTTTATCGATAATGTTTTATGATTTTTTTTTTTCGGCGTAAAGTTATTTAATTTTATTCCTTGTGGTAGTTGTGGCGGCCAATGATTTGAAATGGAATCTGGTGTCAGGCATGTTCCGACCTTTCGTCGAAATCAATCTCATAGGACCACACCTAGCCGATAAGAAGAGGAAACATGCAACAAAATCCAAAGCCAACAACTGGTCACCTAAATATAATGAAACGTTTAATTTGTAAGTAAACATATACGCTCTACGCTTTGTATTTAGTTGAATTATTCGTTATATAGGACATTTTTTGTATGTACATAGAGCAGTGTTTCTCAACCTGTGGGACGTTGAGAATAGATATACGTAGTCAATAAAATGAGCATCATTATTGCTATCTGTTGCATCATCAAGTTAAATCGAAAACAGCTTGTCGCGCAACTTCCCGAGTAGCTGATCCTGTACATCTTCAATTAAAGTTTTACTGTAAATTTTACGTCAAAATACTCAAGGTACATTATTATTGCATACATATATTGCTATTGTATGAGAGGGAGCGCGGTAAAAATAATTATGGAAAATTGGGTCGCAAATGGTAAAAAAATGAGAAACGCTGAACTAGAGGGTGATACAGTCATATACTAAATGTCTAAGTAAAATTCTAAGTAAAAGCTAAAATCTAAGTGAAATTCACATTCTTGTAATAACTTTGTTTTCCATTTTGTAGTATTATTGGTAATGAGGAACAATTGGACTGTTTCGAGTTGCATATTTGTGTAAAAGACTATTGCTTCGCTAGAGAAGATAGACTGGTTGGTGTGGCTGTTATGCAGCTCAAAGACATCGTCGAAAAAGTAAGTGACCATTTTTAGCATATTTAAATTATTGTATTAGTGCTTTAAATGTGAAAGAAGTCACTATTTCGTATCAGAAATTTATGTTGTAATGTATATATTTGGTAATAAAACAGGTACTAGTATGTTATTACAGTAAAACAGGAAGATCAAAATGCTACTTTAATTTTTAAAAATAACCCATGATCAATCTAAAGAACCGCTATTCTATGACGCTACCCGTGATAACGCCATCTTGTGGCGGTAGTTCCGTGACGCTCGCCTCAGTATTTTACTATAGAGAAAAAATTAATATAACGCCATAATATAACCTTAGCTTTAAAAAATTATGATAAACATTACAACAAATTAACTAGAGAAGTTTCTATTAGCAAGCGTCTAAAGCAAGGATGCTGCATATCACCTACACTCACACAAAATATACCTGAATGAGGTGCTCCCAGGAAGAAGAACGTAATGCAATATGGCGAATCGAAATCAACAGATTGTACAAGATACACTTCGCTGACGACGAAGTAATTTTCGCTTGAAGTCAAGAGTGATACAGACTATAATATGCTTAGAAAACTGAAAGAGCAGTACACCAAGGTGGCGCTCACAATTAATATACAAAAACCGAATAATTAGTTGCAGGAGAAAAACTAGAAAGTTCAGACATTGAAATGGGAATTATAAAATCAACGGAAACTTTTACGGAAACGGAAAATACTTGGGAGTCCAAATAACATCAATAGCAGGAAGTAACGAAGAAATGCATTTCAGGATTAGCCAAGCAAGATCAGCTATTAGATAGTTACACAAACTATTGTGGAATAACAAAATAACAAAAGAAAATAAAAAAAAAAATATTATTGGGTTGTACGGCACCGAAATCTGGAAAATTAATACAAAAAATACCAAGTTAAAAATTAAAGCCAAGGAAATGAGCTTTTGGAGGCGATGTTACCGGCTCACTAGCCTTGATAGGGTGAGGAACGAAGATATTCGAAGAGAGATGGAAATTGATCTAGACTTAATAGATAGATAGACAGATTGTCCTTCTTAATTCATGAAAATAGATAGGGCCAAATACAAGACATAATACAAGATCAGACTATATGAATAAAGAGAGGAATAAAACTTGTTTGGACAGCGTTTGGTAAATTGGATTATATCCTTATATAAAAATAATACTAACAACATAACAATAAAAGTTTTTAAACAATATTTACCCAAGGTTCTTATTCATTGATTACAATTAAGAATTTGACGATGTTGGTGAAATCCAGAAATGTAACGAGCCATGTAAAGGCAATTCATATACAGTGTGTCAATTCTAAAACTTAAAATGGACTAACTTTGGATTAAATGGACAATTTAATGAGGTTTTTGTTGAACTACAAATTTGTTAAAAATGTCAATTAAATAAATCTTTAAAGTGGATTCCGTCGTTTTGTAACAATAATACAGCCTATTTTCAAATTATGTACGAACTTTGGCAAATGTTGTTCTAGTAACAGCGCGACATGCTTAGGTAAATCTTTCTCGCCATTCCCCAAGTGACGCAGGTTGAGTTTTATAAACAACTGACTTGAGGTAACCCCATAAAAAAAAGTTAGGTGACGGTAAGACAAACAGGTAACAGAATCAACAAAAACCTCATTAAATGTTCCAATTAAGTCAAAGTTTCACAATTACTGCTTCATCCTGTAGAATTATTATTTAAACCATTGAATAGCATTTTTTATAGCCTTTTTAATAATGTATCACAAGTAGGGGTTTGCAATTTAAACGTTTTTGGTTATGGTGTGTAAGCCTAGGGGGTTGCTGTGGGTGAGTTCTCTTTCATGCCATTTTAAGCATTTTTAGATATTAGCTTTTGTTTGTGAGATATAGCGCATTGTAAGTTTTACAATTAACACACTGTATGTATAGCTAAAGGAACTGAAAATAAATAAGTGGATTAGGTAAATCACAAATTAAAGGGGAAGGTAATACACAAATTAGGCCCAAGATCAATAAGCACAGCATGAAAAAAGATGAATAAATAAATTCATGGGGTGACTTTATGGAGTGTTCACTATTCAACTCTCAAAGAACGAAACTGATAGTAGATAGATAAACAGATAGATAAATAGTACTTAAAGATAAGATAGATTAATAGATAAAAAGTTACTGTTTGATGTTTTGGGCTAACGACATCATTGGTTCACATTTCTTAGAGAACGATATTATCCAGGTCCTCACTGTCAACAACGAGCGCTATTGATTGATGATTTGAGAGCATGATTACCTCACTTGGAGGTGATATGATTTGGCCACCGAGATCGTGCGACTTAACCCCATTAGACTTTTTCTTGTAGAGTTCTCTTAAGTCGCAGATATATCCAAATAAGCGACAAAGCACGGCGATCCTCAAAGTCAATAAAACTCAAATTTTGCCTGATTTATGTCAGAGTTATGGAGAATTGAGCGCCATCTAGTGAGGTTAGCATGGACATTTAAATGATATTATATGCCATACATACTGATGAAAAACGGGGAAAGATAATTTTAGGTAATTTTTGACAAGCTAAAAATAATTAGAAAGAAATAAGTATTTGCATCATCAAAGAAAAAACCCAGTACCTTTTGTTCCATTACACATACAGGCAAGATATCAATAAAAATACGTAAACACATAGAAAAAAAAAAGGAAATAACACCAGCTTTTAGAACATAGTTTAGCTTTAACGACTCCACTGCTCATACGAGTCCGACACCAACTAAGGTGGCACGATGCCAAAACATCATGGGGCACCAAATCCTTCCAGGTAGGTACGTGCCGAGACATCGACACCACCCTCCGTGGAAGATATTTACGGGCCCAGCTCGTTTAACCTTACCTGGTTCTTGTGGAATGAGAGTAGAGTGGTCCCACGAGATGATCGTCTCGGATACTAGGAGTGTAGACCGGTGACCGAGATGACTATGCATCTCGAGTGCGTTTTTACAAACCCGACACCTCGAACGACGGCTCTCCATCTCTCATTGCCCATCCATTAGTCGCCTCTTACGACAGGCAGGGTCTTCTGGCCTCGGTTGTATTCTTATCTCCGCGAGCCGAACGGAGAGCTTTCAGAACAAACAACAACTTAAGCAAATATATTAAGAACAACAAGAGCCAAAAGAAATGTCAATTACTCAGCAGTGTATACAAACTTAAATGTGGTGACTGTCCAAAAACTTACATCGGTCAAACTGGTAGAACTTTTATCAAACGTATAGCAGAACATAAAAGGACTTTCAAAAATAGAAAAACATATACGTACGCACTTCACTTCTAGACCATATTAATTCTTTTTAAACAGTTCTCCCCTCCTCATTTTATTCAGTTAAAGACTATAAAGTGTAAACACCAAAATAGATCACTTGAGAAAGGCACTCTGGCTGAAGCAGCTGAGGTGATAATAATTTAGAATAAATTTTGTGGAAGTGTTGAAAACAAAAGCTTTCAGTGTTTTATTGTTACATAAAATGAATTTTCATCAAATAACGGTCGAATTCATCACTTAATTAGAAATAATTTTTTTATCGTACATATTCGTATTAACTCGATCCTGTTTCACATTTTAATGTTCTACTTTAACTTCAAGGGCTCGTGTGCTTGCTGGCTGTCACTGGGTAAGAGGATCCAAATGGATGAAACCGGCTGGACGATTTTAAGGATTTTGTCTCAACGCACAAACGACGAAGTCGCCAAGGAATTTGTCAAACTGAAATCCGACATCCGACAAGAAAATCCTCTTCCAAATTAGTAAAAAAATAACTACACTAAAAAACTGTGAGTGGCTAAGAGACACTGTGTTCATACTCAAAGTGTGTTATAATATATGGACCGTCCTTAAAAGAATTCCACGCATTTAGGCAGCTTTCCAGAGAGTTCGGCTCTACAAAAATTGTTAATCGGGACAGTAAGTTAAACAAATATTTTGTCAAAGATTCCAGATAACCATAATGTTTAACAACCTTCATACCACTAATAATAACAATACTTTATTATCTTATAAACAACATTTCTTTTCTTTTTTATTAAAAGTATTTTAAATTTTGAATAAATAACTTTATGCTAATTAGCATAATAATATTGTTTTTGATTCTGAAGATTTTTGGATAATAATTTATTTATGTCGGTGCAATACAAAAGAATTTATCTATCAGCGGCAAGTTTTTAATTATCTACTACTTGCAGACTTTTTCTTTACCAAGGTCGCACAAGGTCACCAAGTAGTCTTTGGGTTCTGTTTCATTTTATTCATCTTTACTGGTACTAGGCTGGTTTCTTTATGGTCTAATATCATCAGGTCTTCCAGTTGGTGTCACCAGTACCTGAGGGTCTTCTTCTTCTTCTATGGCACTACAACCCAAATTGACCGTTGGCCTCCTTTATTTTTTGCCTCCACTCTTGCTTTTCTCTGACTGATCTTCTCCATACGCGGACTCCTAAAAGGAAGTGTGCGTCGCTGTTTACTGTGTATTCTCAGCGCTTTCTTGACTTTTCAACCGGTCTCTTTCCCTGCATTCTAGCATTCAGTGCTCGTTATGGTAGCCTGTCCTCTCCCATTTTTATCACATCTCCTGCCCATTGCAATCTTTGTATGTCTGACAGTCGTGTTTCCATTTAAAGTTGATAAAGTTCGTTGTTGTAGCGACTTCTAGAAATTTCATTTTCTCTCACTGGTCCAAGTATTATCCTAACTGCTTTCCTTTTAAATGTGTCGAGTTTGCTTGGATGTTTTTTTTCAGGACCCATGCTTCACTACCATAGCATGCTATTGGTCGAATTAAGCTTTTATAAATTCTCATCTTCGTATTTCGGTGGACATTTTTAGACCGAAATATATGGGAGAGGGCAAAATAAGCTCTGTTCGCCTGCGTATTTGTCCATCTTCTTCTTTTTTTTTGTGTATTAATTTCGAGACCTAGCCCTTTTGTTTGTATTTTTAACTCTTATGTTGATGTTCTACTCATAATAATATCATCGGCATAAGCGGCCAGTTGAAACGTTGGGCTGGTCAGTAGCTTTCCTCGTCCAGTTTGCATTTGCGTAACCGCATACTCCAGTACAAGGTTAAACAAAGCTAGACCCAGTCCATCTCTCTGCTTTAGCCTATGTGAATACACATACCTGAGCTTCGTCCATTGTGGCTTTAATGAGTCCAATTAGCTTGTGTGGTATTGCCAATTCGGCCAATATATTGTAGTTTGTTCCTTTTGACTGAGTCGTATGCCTGTTTGAAGTCTACAAAACACGTTGTGAACAAAGTTGAAGTCTACAAAACAATCGATCTGCATTGATACCAATCACGTAGATTCTTCAACTATGAGATCTGCCTTCGGCTAACAGATTTTCTTCCTTGACTCTCTCCCTGTATTAAGAGTCTCAAAATTTACATTTTTTTTATATATTGGACCATATTTTAGTCCCCTCATCACGTGGCCTAGGTATTCCAGTTTTCTGGTTTGTATATTGGTGATTAGTTCTGTTTCTTTACCAACCCTCTCTAGTACTTCTTTATTTCTAATTCTAGGAGTCCGTGATATTTTTAATACTCTGCGGTATAACCAGAGTTCGAAAGCCTTGATTCTTTTTAAATTGCATTTTTTTTAATGTCCACTTCTCAGCTCCATATAATAATATTGAAAATATATAACAGCTAATGGTACGTAGTCTGATCTCCAAATTTAGATTTTTGCACGTTAGGAGTGGCTTCATTCGTATAAATGCTGAAAATATTCAAGATCTGTTTGACTGTAAATATTTGATCCAGTGTCGATTTTCTCCATCGGAAGCACGTCTGATACTCTCCAATAATATTTTCTGCTAGTGGTTAGAGCCGCTGGTTTATAATATACGTGAGGACTTCATATGCTGTACAAAGTGGAGAAATTCCACGGTGGTTTTTGCACTGGAATTTTACTGGAATTTTTTATAGATCGGTCATACTATACCTTTCTTCCAGTGGTCAGGTATTTTCTCTTCTTGCCATATGTCTTTAATGAGCGCGTGGATATGACTTGCTAGGTAGTCGCCACCTACCTTATATAATTCTGCTGGTTTTTTGTCACCTCCCTGGGCTTTATTGTTTTTCTGTGCCTTAATAGCTTCGAAGATTTCCTCTATGGTTGGAGTTTGTACTCTATTCTCTACTTCGTTCTGTTCTGAAGGTCACTTTTCTTTAATTTCCTGGCCAGTCAAAGGCATCTTTTAATTAGGACCATGTCAAATTATTATGAGTAAACCGATCGAATGGAATGGAACTCTAGAATGGACTCCCTAGTTGAAAAACACATAACCCATATAGTTGTTCTTAGAGTGTCAGGCTATACGTTCATGGTACTTAAAGTCAATTTTCTTACTAAAGTGTGTATAATGGCGACTTTTTGTCTCTTGTTATAACAATGTTCTTTTATGTATGTGTGTGTATTGCAGGACCTTTGGTCCCCTCCTACTATTACATATGTAGATAAAAAGTATTTACTTACGCTTTTAGAAGATTTGGCTAGAGGTAGCTTTACTTATCGAAAAAGTGGGGAAAGCACACTTCTCTGGGATATTAAGTTTTATTTATTTCTCTATCTGTTTTTCTTTTCTTGTAGTATTACGTAGACTACTCTATGATGAAAATGGCTAAGTTACTCAAATGTCATGATTTATCAATGCCCATAAAAATCAGGTTATCACGATGTTACATTTTTCCTATACTGTTGTACGGAGTTGAGTCATGGACTCTCACAGACGCCACCTGCAAGAAAATTGAGGCTTTTTAAATGTGGCTTTATCGTCGCATCCTGAAGATATCCTATACCGACCACGTTACTAATTAGGGTGTTCTGTTGAGAATGAAAAAAGAAAAAGAACTGTTAACCACAATAAAAGCAGCCAAAATCGAATATCTCGGTCACATCATGAGGAACAGCGAAAGATATGGACTGCTGCAACTAACAGGGAAAAGTTTAAGGAAAACGGGGACCAGGAAGGCGAAGGATTTACTGGCTGAAAAATCTACGAACGTGGTTTAACACAACAACCACAAATCTTTTTAGAGCAGCGGTGTGCAAAATGCAGATTTCCATGATGGTCGCCAACATCCGAAACGGATAGGCACTACAAGAAGAAGAAGAAGACTCTATGATGTAGCAAAACTTTAAGAACTTCACTACTTTAAGGTCATTTAAAGTGTTATTTATTTTATCTAGCAAGTTTTTGTGGTTCACGTTATTACAGGCAGCTGTTAAATCAACTTGTTATCAGCTTGTTTTTAAAAGTCACCTCTCTTCAATAATGAATATCAGAAAAACCGATTTTTTAATTTTGATATATTCCGGACACTTGTATCCACATCCGCAACGAAATCTGTAGAAGTTGCTTGCAGAAGTTGCTTGACTATGCTAAATATTGTCTTCTTCGTTGCTCATTTGTTCACTAATTTATGAGTCTTCTTTGAAATCACCTCTTTTTTATGTATCTATGTTATTCCCACTAATTAAAACAAAATACTGTCAGGCACAAAGGTGTCTAATGTTTAATCTTTTACAATTAACCAACTCTCTCATCCGTCATGCACTCGACGGTGTTGCATCGACTTTATTCATGAAATGAGCAATCTCACTTCATTTATTTTTATCCCTTTTTGAATTTCTGTTAAAATTGACTTGAATATTATATAAATAATAACAGGAGAAAGCACACAACTATGTCAGACTACTTTTTGTACTGCACGATCTTCAGACAAAGTTGCCCCTATTATTAACCGACATTTTGTTTCCAGCAGTGATTTGTTTTTACATTCTCGTATCAATTTTCTCTAAGCCTATGTTGTGCAGTATTTCTATTAAAATTTCATTAGCTACTCGATCAAAAGCTTTTTTAAAATCCACAAAACATATAGTAGTAGTGTCTATAGGTCACATTCAGGAAAGGCATAGAGAACCTGTGTTAAACTTTAAAATATTGGGACAACACTGTCTAGACTTGATAAAAGACATGTTTATATGTTTTGTGGATTTTGCCTTATTAAAGATTTAAATAAAGGACCAATTAAAAATTATATATCAAATTAAATAAAAAGGAAAAGAAGACTTGTTTAAATATAATACTAAGCAGATTAGATATCAAAACCAATGTAAATGTTACAAAAACTGTGGGTTTAAGATTATTTCGATAAAAAATTATTAATTAAATGTCGATTCAAATCGTGTAAATTGTTTTTCTGAGAAAAACACCTCAAGAACAGTTCTGTTAGGGTCCAAAAGGACATAAAGACTGTCGTATTAACAATTTTTGTACAAAACTGGAATAAACTATACCTCCTGGAAGATGCTTATCAATACATTCTAATATAATAATATTCAATGTGCCTCCCAACTTGTACATTCAAACAATAATTTAAAACTTGACTTAAACCAGTAAATATACGTGTATCATCGTTCATTAATCATCTACATACTGTGAAATTGTAAAAAAGTCGCAATAAGGAGCATAATTTTTACATTTCTCTCATTACGGATTTATCTTCATAGGCCGATTGAAGTTTTTATTAAGAAATAGATCAAAATTGGTGCTACAAAAACCGCAGATGTAAGGTAGAGCGAAATAATCTTTACTGTTTTCTAAAGTGTCTAAAAATTTTTAAGTTTTGTCTTATTTTCAATACGTCATATGTTCTTGCAGAATTCGTTATTTTCTATTATCATATTTATTTTAAATTTTCTGTGTTTGCTGAAGAAGATAGGAATTTCGTTTTAGTTTATTTCG